CATATTTCTTCCACATAGATGCAAAGAAACCCTACATCCTAGCCTACTGGGTTCTTTAGTTACCCCCTTAACTCCTAGTAATGGGCAAACAAGTTATGATTTTATGTAAAAAATTCTCAAATACTCCAGTTTTTGTACACAATGTAAAATCCAACAGAATAAAACATAAACGTCACGTCGCCAAGGTAGCAAAATTTCCGGATGACAACAAACCAAACACATCACTTACAAAAATGAGTTTGCACTGTTTCAACTTCGTTAATCTTATTCAATTTCATCTCATTTTTTAAAATGTTTGCGAAAGTTTCTGGGTTTGAATCCGAAAGGACTGTATCTAAGTTAGAAAAAGAAAAAGAAAATTTTTGTGTTGTATACTCCAAAAAGTGGGCTCGTGAAATTAGGAAGTTTCCTGTCGCAGTCTTGCAATGACGGCTAAGAAATGTACAAAAAAGCCTGATGCAGATGCAAAGCTGTTGTTTTGCTAATAATATAATCCTATTGCTTTTTTGCCATTCTTGTTGTCGTCACCGTCGTCGTTGCCTAAGTTCCCCTTTGTTGTGAGCCCGAAATTTTGCTTCCATGGTAACGTGGTGTCACACTTCTCGGCCTCTCTGTTGTGTCTATTAACAGGGTCTCAAGATGGGCGTGTTCATGTGTGGGGCTCAGATAGTGGTCAAAAACTCACTGTTTTAGAAGGTAACCACCCGGGCCCTATTCAGTGTGTTGGATTTAACCCTAAGTTCATGATGCTGGCATCTGCTTGCACTAACATGGTAAGTCCACCTTGGAGGAATGTAGGAGAGTATCATTCTTTTTCCTTGGTTTTAGAAGCCTTCCTGCACGTACAAAATACTGTAGTTACTGTTGATATTTCAAGGAGAAATTGATACACGAGTGTTTCATTTACAGTAGACCTTTCTTACAGTCTTGTGCTTCAACAAAATTAATGTACCACTTCTAAGGCTATCTTTCTAGCAGAGGTGTCTTTCTGGCATGGTTTTTAGCATTTCCGAAACTGTTCACATCACTGGCATTTTGTGTATGTTGGTTTGGCTCAGGGATGTAAACAAGTCAACCTATGCAAATGTCAGTGCATGAACGATTTTGTAAAAGCTTAAACCACACCAAAAAGAAAGTTGTGCTAATAGAAGATAACTGCAAAGCTGTTGCTGACAAAATACAAAGTTCTGGTTCAAATGAAATTATCATAAGCCTTAACCTTTAACCATTGTGAGTGATCACTGAAGCGGAATTTGGGAAAGATCTTTGAGGGCTTATTTTTGTACATGTAATATTATGGGTTGATGTTATGTTAAGGTACAGGCAATGTACAAGTCATGTATAGGGCACTTATTTTTTGTAACCGACTTCAAACTAAAATTTCAAGAGTAGAATAGAATAGTATAGAAAACTTTATTAATGTGTTGGAGCTGTAGAGCTTGGGGACAACCCCATACTAATTTGGGGACACAATTTATAGTTTTTATTAACCCATTCGCCCCTGAACTGCCCGTAACCGCCTACGCGGATCCAGGTCCTTTCTACCCTTTGTGACGTCATCAGTTTTAATGGTCAAGGACAACTTTCTTCCCTAACTTGTGCAGAGTGAAGAGATCTTTCAAACCATACCAGAATGAGCAAAATTCAGTCAAGGACACCGGAGAAAGAAGCAAAAAACCACGTGACATGGACCTGAAAATCTCCATGAAAATCTTGTTCCATTGCCCACCTACCTTTCCTTTCACCTAAACCTAAGATCCTAAAAGCTTTTCTAAAAACTATTCCCACCAAAATGAAGCCTACTAAATGCCCAGCAAGAGAAAAAAAAAATGAGGCAAGAAAAGCGAAAAAAGAAGGGAGGAGAGAAAGCGAAAAGTAAAAGTCAAGACTGCTGTGTCACTTTTAAACCCAAAAACTATCTCGAAATTTTGCTTTCTGCGCATGCCCGAACTTCGCAAGCAGATATTTTGCATCTGGATCAGAAGGCTGCGAAGTGTACGACCTGTAAACCAGTTTGTGGTAAGTTTTAGCTCTTTATAGCACGACAGTGACCAGAAAACCACTCGACTAGCTTCAAAACGCGTTTTTTCGGCAAAATCTCCAGGAGCGAATGGGTTAAATAATTGGAATTACCTATACAATGTGAAAATAAAAAATATTTAAACTACCCATAATATATTATACTCTAATGAGAATCTAAAATAACTGAGAGAGAATTGTAAAATTAAATGCCAGCCAGCACCAGCAACAAGGGTTTTTTTCTACTAACATAATTTAGTACAAGAGCAACATTTACGTGTACATTCATTAAAAAAATCCAACAATATCATTCCAGTATCTTGTAACCACACACATTTTAATTCCTACTTGTACATGTAGCTTCAGGAAGACCCAACTGGAATTTAAACCTTCCTTATATTTTGACCCCCTACAGTTGATGATTGCAGTAAACTTTTATAAAACTGGTTTTACTTTTATAAAACTGAAATTAATTTTCACCCTATTTTTTAACTGTCAGTACTGTTTAAAATTTTATATGAATTGTTTTGCCAACTTTATTTGTTATTATTATTTGTACATCTTGTCAAAAAGGCATTCTGGTTACCCAACTTGGAAGAGCTGGATGAGGCAAGTAAAAGATCACTACCAAGCTAACAAGAACCTGGCAAATATCATTGACTGCTACATCAACTGGAAAAAAACGAAGAAGTTGGCATCTTGCAGCTGAAACGTTTCCCTTAACTACATGTATCCTAGGCACACCTATGTCCTAACACCGTTAAAAGGTTTTTTTTCAAGTTTCTTTCAAGGTCAGAAAAAGCAGATAACTTAAAAATATTGAAGGAGTGGGAAAAGCTGCAAGTGGTTTCTGCTGAGTCGCTAGATTGTCCTTTGACTCTGAGAGTCACTTAGGGCCTTATTCCACAAACCCCTTCTATTTAAAAATATTTCTTTTTTGAGCTTTAAGAAAGAACCACTGCTGCTTTAGTGTTCTTGTTGGTGAAACAGTGCTCAGACACTTTATATTGCATTGAAAGAAAGAAGGAAAAAACTGTCAGTGTGATTTGTACATATTTCTTGTTATTGTTGTCTTGTTATTTTTTAAAACTATTAAAAATGTTTAATTTTCAAAGAAGAAAAATACTGCTTTTACTGAATGTGACTATAAAACTTCATTTCCAGGGTCTCTTTTCTATACGCCCCCTGTTACTGTAGGGAGAGGAATGAAAAAAAATGCTGGGAACAAGGTTGATTGTTTAAATAAATATTATTGTTATAATTCAAAGGGGAAAGACTGTAAATAACTGTGTACAGCTCCTGCAAATGAAGTCGTAACATTACAATTTTTTGGCGTGCAATTCTAAAATGAATTTTAATTCCATTACATGAATCAGACATCCATGAAGAGTTACTCAAAATGTTACAGTCAACTCTCTCACTACCCATTAATTCCCAAAAGTTACCAACAAATTTTCTCCTAACAACCTCAGTACAGTATCAAGACCAAAGGTTATGAGAATTAAAAATGATCACCAAAGGGTTAGCCAATTTTCAAATTCGCAGGCAACAGAAACAATTATTTTTTCTCAATACAAATCCTTGTAATAAATTATTTGAATGCTACGCAAGAGTGTCGATGGTCTTATTTCAAGCTTTAGTCATCATCTATTGGTTAACCCTTTAAGCCCCAATATCCACATACAAATTCTCCAAACTGATCTCTATACATTTTCTTACAGAATAAGTTGAGAGAATTTGATGAAACATCAAAGCATTTTCTCTTAGGTGATCAATTTATTAATTCTCATAACCAAATCTGTTGACAATCAATGGATATGGTTAAGAGAAAATTGATGTTGGTCACAATTGGGACTTACAGGGTTAACAAAATGGGGGAAGTGTCTTAGCCAATCACATACAGTCTATATCACATATCAAGGCAAATCCAAATTAACAAAGAAAAAAACAGGGTAATAAATGGAAATGCTACATTAACCCACTGTGCTGTAATGCCACAAAAAGACAACAAAAGATAGAAAGAAATATTGTGTTTTATTACATGTACAAATATGTACAAACTAACTTAATATTAGTCTTCAATTTGCAGCTTTTATACAGTGATGTTCAAAGACACTAAATAGTTTTTTAATAATTCATTTATACTCCAATCAACACTCCCTAACCACCTTTTATCACACAGTGCATTTCCTTGGGCAAGTTCAATAATGTACCTTATAGAAAATTGAAGCTCTATGAAATTGAGGTATTGGAAATTAACATAACTTAACATTAATTTCCTGTACCAGCAGAAATGCCACAGGCCTTCTTAGCAGAGTTTTTGCAAACTTGTGTAGTTTTTTGCATCCACATTCAAACCACATAAAATGCATGGTTCATAAATCCTAAATAAATGCTTATAAAATGCAAGTCAGAATGTGCAATCTTTACCGGTAGTTCAATAATCCATTTCCCAATTTCGGCCAAAAAAAAAATTTGGAATTTTTCAAAGAAATGCATCCTTAGTTGAGATCGATGACATGTTTTTCACCTTACATTGTACAAAAATAAATCTAAGTCTAAAAGTTAGTCACATTTAACTGCCAGCAGTGTCCATTGCATACTATTCCATCTACCTGTTCCTCGTAATGACCCTTCTACACTTTAGATACATGTACATGTAAGATTCTATCAAACTCTTCTCTTCTGCCTGACAAATCACTCTCAGGGGGAAAACAGAATTTGGAAATTCATGGATCTCAGAAATTATGTTTGGATGCACTACTTGCTGTTTCACTGAGTTTTGAACATTTTGACATCATTTCAAAAGTTATAGCCCATTAATTTGTTTAGTATGTTCTTGGTATTAACATTAGGTTTGTCCCAAGAAAAGTTTGACATTTGACACTGCCCTTAGGGAGAACTTGATTGCACCAAACCTGAGAACTACACTGACTAAATGGAAGCTACTGCCCTCTTCACCCCTTATAACTACAAAAAGCCTAAGTACATTCAGTGAATGTTGTGACCATATTTCCCACTTTTCTTGTAACAGTCCGACATGTTCTGCCTCCACCTGCCAAGAAAGAAACAGAGGATGATCAGTGCAAAGTAACCAGCTATAAAACTCAAAAACTAGGGAGCACTTTCAACAGATTCCCTCTCACCCATTGACCATCACTAACTGTCACTGGAGGGGGGGGGGAGGAGCAGGTTTCAATATCTCTTACTCTAAATGCCATAGAAAGAATGAGAGTAAGGAGAGGTTTTCTACATGAAGGGGAGTGAAGATACAACATAAAATCATTCATTTTGTGCATACTGTGAATTCCGTATACAACCACCCTAAATGACTACAAAGGAGGCTGAATATTCCTGACACAAATATTGCAGACCCTCCTTCAACGATGAAAAACACTTCGTACATGAAAATCTAGACTTAAAGAACCACCTCTGTTACGTGATGGAATTCAGGTGTCATCTGTGACCCTTCCCCCTGTTAACCCCCTCTCTCCCCCCCCTCAAAGTAATGTTATCAGGCCTGGGTTAAGTATACAGAGTGCACAAAAGTTAACATAGCTTGGGTTGGGAGGGGGAGTAACGTTTAAGTCCATTTTAGTGTCCCAAGACTCTCAACATCACTCACTTCACACTAAACAAATTTATATGGATTGCTGTTCTCAAAACAGAAAAAAAAAGTTTTTTTGGAACAAGGTTATTCCAGAATAATCCAGAATTTTATCATGATAAGGTTGAAATAAGCATACCCTTAGGGGTGCACTTACTTGATTCTCTAAATGCTGTATGTCTGACATTTCTGTGCATTCTTTCTCCATCGTCATTTGTAAATACATCTTCTCTATGACTAGTTGTGTGAAAACTTCCATCACTGAAAAATGAGTCCCCAAATCCACCAAATTTAAATCCTCCGAAAAAGTCATCTTCTTCTTCTTCATCATCGTCATCAAAGAAATCATCGAATCCACCTCCGCCACCACCAAAAGAAAACTTCCACTCTTTTCCATGTCCATTTCCACTTCCAAAGTCAAAATCTTTGAATATGTCATCGAAGCTTCGGAAACCTTGTGAATGGAAATTGAAGCCATTATCGTTCATTCCTTCCGATCCAAACTGATCATATTGCCTTCTCTTTTTTTCATCTGACAGAACTTCATAAGCTGAAAGAGTTGAAGAGTACTTTCATCAGAGTTGAATTAAGTGTTACCAGTTCTTTCTGGAACAAGGTTATGCTCTAAAAAAATTGATTTTCTAGATTTTCTAGTCTCACTGTCACAGGGGCAAAAGTTATGTACCAGGGGCCACCGGCAATGCATTATGCTACAGCACAGCCTTGGGGGTATTTAACCCTGGCTGGTAAACACACCATAAAGATGTACACCGGATGATTCACAACGACAATTTTTAGTGCAAAGCAGTGTTGCAGTGTTGGAACTAATCGAAACAATATCGCAATGCTTTGTTGAGCTAAAAATTGTCATTGCGAATTGTTTCTTTAACATCACCTTGAAGCTGTTCTATTATATATTATTATATTATATTATCTCTATGTCCATGCACAACATTCTATGGAGCAACCAGTGAAACGTCTTACACACAGCATTACTTTTAGATCACTGACTGCCTAAAATTTTATTATTTTCAATTTTTTATTGTTGTAAATTATATGTTTGAGCTTGTTGTTAAAATCACATGGTAACCAATCACTTGAATGATTTGCTTTCACATTTCACCAGTAAGTTTTGAGCATATTTATTTTATTAAAGATTTTTTTATTAAGACTTTGAATTTTGGCCATTTAATATTATTATTTGTCCATTATTTGTTTTCAAGTGCGTAAAATTCCCCACCAAGGCATTTAATGGACAGCACTTTAAGGGTAGTCCAGTAAAAGGTTTACTGCTAGTTTTGTAAAAGGTTTAGCAAGGATTATTAAATTATGCTTTAAAGAGAGGGATTTTATTATTGTCACTAAAGATATGACCAGCTGTGTTTAATCACCCGCTGAGCCACTCTTTTTCTTCAAATAAAATTCTGCCCCTTCAAATAGACAGACAAAGGTTAATCAGTAGCCTATAACAAAGTCTAAGGCTCTCCTCCTCTTTGCTACACAAACCCCAAATGTTTGATATGTTTTGAGGGTAGAACAACAGCTTCCGAGTCTCTATATAGTAGCCAATTCAACATAATCAACTCAGATGAAAAATTCAATATCTCTCCCTACAAACTGACACATTTACCAAAGTGTCTGCGAAAAATAACTGTAATATCCATTTATTATTGAAGAATTATTTGTCTGAGCAAACACTACACTGTACACTGTACACTCTGGCATAAAAAAAACAGGGGAACTGCTGGGTTGCAACATTTTTCACCAAATTAAAATACTGGTCTATTACTGTTTACTGTCACTACACTGCATTTACAGACACTACTCTGCTCTCTGATGTGTCATAATTATTCATCATTTGAAAGATTACTAGAGTAGCAAATATAAGTGCTTTGAAAACAGCATAAATTATTTTGACGTCCAAAAAATTGTCAAGGGCCAGGGAAATCTTCGAACAAACTGAAAAATTAGGACCAAAATAATGTCCATTTGTGTGTAGTGGAATTTTTCCTTGAATGTGCATAGTTTACATATGAGCACTACACAGTTGCAAATTTTAATTTTGTACTCTTTGCCCCAAACCCCTACGCCCCGCGTGACTGTACATTTCTTTAAGTAAGTGCCTCTGAGCTCAGCTCAGTTATGTGTAAGCCAGAAAGTGAATCATGGAGGTAAAATTGATCTAACATTCCCAAGAATTCAGAGTAGGGGCAGAGGGCCAAGGCAGCCTATCAATCAATGTACGTGTGGTCAGTGCAAGTTCATTTTCAGTTTTCCCTTTTTAATTGTCATTGGTTAAAAAATAGTCTTAATTCACACTTGCAGTTTACTTGAGAAGCAGCACTTCTAGACACATGCAAAATTTGTATATCGTAATGTAAAGTGAGCTGTTGCTAGGTACAAGTATGTAAGCTTATTTGTACTTTAATCTTCGGAAAAACTGATCACTTCAATGAGTCATCACTTTGCTATTAAAAGCGTTAAATCACATGACTTATTAAATTGAAGCAGAAAACACCTCCAGTTGAACATTCGTGATTCAAGTGTCACAAGCTTGGATTTCAAATCCAAAGTGAAAAGCAAATTATTTCCAAAGATATTGTTATGCAATCCAAGTACACCTTGTAATAAAAACAATTGAAAGCCTGACAACAATTGGACATCTTCTACGCAGAAAATCTATTCAAACCTTTCAGTGAATTACAGGAAACGAGTTTATGTCCAACAAACATAAGCTTAAATATAAAGCAAAAACAATAAATGTGTATGAAAAGGTACTCAATTCTTGAAAATGACAACCAAACTTTAACAGAAGGAACTGGTCCCATGCTGTTTTCTCTAATACACGTATAATTTATGTTGGAACGTTTGAGGTATCGACGTGTATCGAGAATGAGAAGTCTTGGGTTTTACTGAGGAAAAACTAATTCTCAAGATAAAGTAACGGCCTCGTATTATAGAGGAATACATCTTATGTTTGTTTCAAATTATATTTGACAATCCTAAACGAAATTGAAAACACTTCCAATTTCCGAGAGGTGTTACCTACCTTCCGCTATCTCGCGAAATTTGGCCTCTGCATCTTTTTGCTTATTTTTATCAGGATGGTATTTCACGGCAAGCTTTCTGAAAGCTTTCTTGATCTGTCTGTCACTAGCATCTCTTGGTACACCTAAAATCTTGTAATAGTCTTTCGCAAGAGCCAAGTCAAGACTGGCGAGAATGCTGAATGTTGCGGTGACAAGCAACATAAGATTGTCACAATTCATCGTCCTGTTGAATCCGAAATAACTAATACACTAGCTAGCAATCTACAAATCAACAGTTCGTCACTTAAAAGTACGCTGAAACAGGCCTAAATGAGGTTTTTCCAGGCAAAGTTTGTTGATGAAACGTTCCTTGCCGCTTACAGCATACGAAACGTTCTATGATTGGTCAATTACGAAGCATGACGTATCACTTCCCCCGGCTGCTTTCTTACCCAGAACTCTTTGCTGTCGTGTTACCATCAAAACAAACATGGCGGACGACTCTTCGGATGAAGATGTCGAGGTACAGAATGGATTTCTTGAAGAACTGGAGATCTTTCTCCCGGGTGACTCAGAATCAGATAACAGTGACTCAGCAGGTAATGTGGGGCTGATAAGGAAATGGTCTGACAGGCGTTAGATAGGGTTTTACTAAAATAAGCTGTAATTTTTAAAAATCAGCTGTCAGTAGTAAAACATGGCTTTTTATCTAGTTTTGGCATTTCTAGCCGCATCGATCTCCTTGAAGAGCCTAAACTGTACCTTTTTTGTATTGAGAGAATGAACAGAGTGTACTTTTCCGATTTTAAGTTGGAGGAAATGGTTAGTAAATTGACGTAAATTGCATGCATGCCTCTTTGCACGGTCCATCAAACAACATAACATAACAGTCACGGGTAATTTGGTAGTTCACTTTAGCGCTGCAGTTACTGTGTCATGTCAAACTGCAATTTACCTGTTACCTCTCTTGGTTCTTTCTTTTAATAGCTGAAATTGTACAGGAAAGTGATGAAGAGCAACATAATGCCATTAATTTTGATCCATCTCTTCCTACACAGCATCAGGTATTGGATAGACCTTCTTTTAGTCATTCAGAAACATATAAATGATGAATAAAGGGTCATAATTACTATTTGTCCAGTTTGATTTAATTCAGTTGATGTTACTTCAGTAGCTTCACCTTGGTTCTCTACTTCAGTTCTTCCCCGGAGGGGGAAGAAGTATAGTCAACTCCCTCTAAGACGGACACCTTTGAGACCGGCAGTAAGTGTCCATCTTAGAGAGATGTCCATCTTATAGAGAGTCAAATAAAGGGAGTAAAAAACCGCAGGGAACAACTCTAGGTGTCCGTTTTAGGGATGTGTCCGTTAAGAGAGAGTCAACTGTAGTAGGCTAATGGGGATGTGCGGCTGGATTGGGTCGCATCTTCATGACTGGATTGACTATTATGGGGTTGCATTTTTGTAAGAGTTACTAGAATGGGTTCGCACATTTTCAGGATTTTGGAGGTCAGAAAATTCTGGTATTTAGGGATTTAAAAATAGAAAGATATACACCACATTAAGTTTAACAAATGTGTCAGTTCATTTAAGGATGACCAAGTTAAAAGGCTTTATATGGTAGATACATAAACAGAAAGTGACTAAGAGGTCCTGCCAGGAGAAGGGGAGGGGACCCATGTCGCTTGTCTGAATTTTAAAACATCTCATGTTGGTGTTTATAAATGCTTCAGGACCTTGCTGTCGGAAATTGAACCGAAATTCTTTGTCTTTGTCGGAATTTTAGAAAAAGGGGATAGCGATGTGATGAGAAGAAACCATATACAGTTCTGTAATTTCTCAGTTAACATTTCGTGTATCAAACATCAATACATCGCTATTCACAATTAACACAATTCACAGGAGGATCCACTTAAGCTCCACAGACAAGAGACGTTCTCTGAAGGGCAAGGAAAATTGACAAAAACTACTCCTTCTTAGCATTCAGCCTGGTGATAAATTAAGTCCAAACCACCATTCTTTTTTGCTTATTCTTGGCTTTGCCGTTACTGTCGCAATTTGGCTGAGGGCGGTTGTCTCTTGGCACGATTTCATTTTACACCCTGTCACTACTTTGTTAGTGATGTTGCTTGTCGGAATTTACCCTGGCAGGGCCTCTGACTAAGGTGGGATTGCGAAAATTACTTTTTTCCCAACGAGTGACTAAGATGGGGTCTATAATGTTACCACAGAAAAGTCTATAATGGAGTAGGGGTTCTGAGGGGCCAGCGGCACATGTCCAGCAAAAATTTAACACAAGTACTCTCCCCCCACCCCCTCCTGCCAGGAGTTCTTCATTGGAAGATTATGGAGTGGAAAACTTATATATATTATTATTTCACATTTTTTTACTTGAGTTTGTGAGATTCATACATGGGTTAAAGATCTTCGGAAGCTCTAGTAAACTTTTCTAACCAGATCCCAGAGTTAACAGTCTCCAGGGTTTTATCTGGGTGAGTACATTAAAATAACTGAAAAAAGTATTAATGTGATTGCAGTATCTTGGGGAGGAGATGGACGAGTTCAGTGGTCGTACATACTATGAGCCTGGTTCTAACATTGTTCTTCCACTGCTGATGTTACCGGGCTTGGTCCTTGTCCCTGGGCAAACATTGCCTCTTCATTTGTTCCAGCCCCAGGTAAAGAGTGTTGTTCATAAAATTTCATAAAGAAAAGTCTACAGCACAACATGTGCTTTATCAATAAGATGATATTTTTATTTATGTAAGTGTCACTGAGACATAAAAAAAAATCTTGTCAACTTACGCTAATGACAGAGATTGATGTTATATATACATCTTTTTTGAAAAATTTTACAAGTAATTCAGTCCTTGGACTGCGAAATGTGAATTGTAATAAACAGTCTACAGCTATCTATTTATCTACATATATCTACGCAGCAATTGCATTTGGTACCAACTCAGGTAATAATCCCAAATCATTTATTTCACTTCCTGTCTGTTGCAGCATCACAACTTGCTTAGAAACTGCATCCTTTCATCAGCAAAGTGCAAACAACCAAACCTATTGTTTAAAGCCTGGCTGTTTACTTCATGATCTTTTTTTTTTTTGCAGTCAGTTGCCATGATGAAGAATATTGTAGAAAAGGACAGGACATTTGGCTTAGTGAATGCCAGGTAAGGGGTTTGCTAGGCCTGGTTCAGTCTCTGACCTTTTTACAAGCTAAACCTAATACCTTGAAATGAAAAGATTGGTCTCTGAATCAAAAAAGAACTGTACATGAGTTGTAACATCTTTGAGCAACTCATTTATTCTTCAAATACCTGGCTGGCCAGGAATTTGAGTTACATGTAACTTGGCATGTGCTTATAGCCAAAAAAACATATATCTTTGGCAATTTCACTAATTTTTACTTCAAATTGTGTTGCTCTTAAATGTACTATGACTTTGGGTTCCATCTAATAACATCCCCTGGCCCACTCATTTCCTTTTGTGTAGAGGATGTTTTTGCACAGAGCTCAAACAGGTACTTGACATTTGTCAGTTTCGAATTAAGCTTGTGTCACCAAAACTTTAGCATCTGAACTGGCCCATTTTTGGGTACTTTGAGGTTTTAAAACAGTTCTGTAGCAAAAATTAAAAGTGGTTATTGAAATCTGCTTGCCATTACATGTAACTATTAATTTCCATAGATATGGTAGCAGTCAAAACCAGTTGTTAGCAGCCATTGGAACAACAGTTGAGATTTTCTCCATGAAAGAAGAAGCTGAGGCTGGGATATGCACGCTAAGAATTAAAGCTATGGGCCGGCAAAGATTTAGAATTAAAGAACTACGCAGACAAGTTGATGGGTGAGTATCATCAAAAGATCAGAGTGCTCAGTAGTTATAGAACAAGTTTTTAATACTGTAACAATTCTTAGAACAAGGTTAGGGTTGTTCTTTGTAATAAGTATTGAATAATATCATTTGTCTCAAGATATTTGAAAGAGGCAGTGTAGTCGAGTGGTTACTTTGGACTCGCAGTCCAGAATGCCTGAGTTTATGTCCCACTTTGACTGATAATGTAGCTGGATTTGTCATTGGTAGTCCCAAGTTCAGCTTTTCTAGAAAGTAGCCAACTTGTTTGCTTCTGGCCGGTTGAAATTCTTACGTGTTAAATCAGTTCATTTCAGTAATATACATTTCTATTATTGTTTGTTGCTTCCCTTAATTGGGGACTGCAACGTAAACCACTTACTACCAGCAACTACCCTAGCCTCAGAACGCAGCTAACATTTTGTAATGCCACTACTGGTTTTCCCTGCGAAATGATCTCAGATCTGGGTACGTAGTGCTTCTGATTGGATGAAGCAATTTTACAACCAATCAGAAGAAAAGTACCTAAATCTGGGTAGTGACACGTCATGTAAGGGTGTGGAATTTCTGCGCTCATTTCTCAGACATCGTTTGACATGGAAATTATAGTAGCTAGTGAGATGGCGTAACAAAATAACCCAGCTGTTTACTCAGGCAGCTACAGGTATTTCCTCTATAAAAAGTCAATCATTTGAGATGTAGATAGTAGTGTTCTTCAGGTAAGGCATTTGATTACCTGAGATGAAACAAGTCCCAGCCTAGGGTTTAGTTGATTCGCCTATCATTCATTCTAAGGCTTTGTTTGCCTCCTCTTTATCCAGTATCCTACAGGCCACAGTCCACATCCTTCCAGAAATCAGTCTTCTTTCTCACCCTGAAGGTTCACTTTGGTCCTGTTATCACAAGTTTGGTTGCCAGGCAACCACAGATGGTGCCCTTGAAAAGCCGTACCAGGTCTCTATTGGCAAAAACAGGCTGGGAAAGACTAAGTACAAGAAGGTGAGGGAAATTTACACATGTTAGTATAGGTAATAGCATGATTTGGAGTGATATTTCAAAATTGTTATATGTAATTTCACGAGCTGTTAGGCAAGTGAAATTTGAGACAATTTTGAAATATCATGAGTAGTATTCATGCCATATATCACGTACAAATCATGCTATTATTTGTTTATACTGCTACCCACAAAAGGTTTGTAATTTTCACATGTAGGGATTTCAAATCAAGCTGAAATACCACTGCTCTAAGCCAATCAAATTGCAGAAATTTCTCATATAGTGGTATAAATATATGGTAATAGGACTAAGGGGAGGGAAATTCGGTCTGTAGTCACACAAGTGATTAACAAAATCAGATGACCATGTAGTGGGAGTCTGATTTGTTTAATCATGAGTATGATTACAGACCGAATTGGACGACATGAAGTTCTGTTACCAATTAATCATAACTATAACAAAATTTGTGATATATTAGGCTTTTTTAGATCAAAACACAACAAACTCTGAGCATTTTGCTAGCAGTGAAAAAAAAAGCCATTTAAGTGAGCGTGTGATGGCATGTACTGTCCTGTTACATACTGTAATATTAGTGCTGAAATTAGGACGGTTGTAGCCAATCAGATTTGAGAATTTTGTTAATAGTTATGATTAATTTGATAATCATGCCTAAGAGGTGATGACCGTCAAACAGTGTTAAAATTGCTTGTCTTTTTATCAGGGTCTAAATAATAAAGATATTATCAGCTACTAACATGTAATTAATTTTGCCATTTATTATGTACCTGTAGGTAGCCATCAGTCTAAGTTCATGGCCAAGATGGGTGTATGAACTCTACAATCCAGTAAGTTGTCACAGACTTCAGATTGTTATGGTCACACAATAAGATTTCACAACAGACCCAAAAGTTAGAACGTACATACTAAGCTAAATAGTACCATGTGAAACCACTGTTAACGAAGTTTAATTTGAGTGTTCAACCCGTAAGATTTCGTTCATGGACACAGACCTAAAGGTCACAACTACGTAGAAAACAAATGGCACCATGTGAAAGTACTGCTGAATAGGTTTCATGTGAATGGTAACACCATAGGATTTCATCCACAGACTCAAAAGTTAGAACTACATACAAAACAAATAGTACCATGTGAAAGTACTGCTGAATAGGTTTCATTTGAATGGTCACACCGTAGGATTTCATCCACAGACTCCAAAGTTAGAACTACATACCAAAAAAATAGTGCCATATGAAAGTACTGCTGAAGAGGTTTCAAGTTAATGGTCTACACTAGAGCACACGTCATATTTTGTGCTAGACTGGTAAGTGGTCCAAACTTTTTCTGTCCTTAGCTACTATGGGCCTAGTTAGTCTATACTGGTACGCATTTTCTGAGAAAACTACATTAAACTGAAACAAATTGAATGGAATGTCTTCGCAGAAAAGACTCCATAACATCTGCAATACTCTTTTCTTTATGTTGTTTTCTATCATTTCTTTGTAAATATTTCTGTACTTCCAGAAAAAATACGACTCATTTTGTATTGTCGACATTGCTTTGTAATTAGTTATATTCTCTATAATTCTTACCATGTTATAGAAATATCTTCAAAATTTAAAAGAGTCCTAACTTTCGTCCAAATTATTTGTAAATGACTTTCAGAAAAGTTTCTACTCTACTGATTATCTTTCAGTTTGTGTTAATGGAGTTAATAAAGAAGGAGCTAAAAAGTTGGAGTGAAACTCTACGGATTGACAATGTTCCTAAAGCGCCAACAGGTAGGTATGGCTTCAGTCACGTGCGCTGGAAAGGAAAATTAAAGACGTTTTGACAATTAAAATTAAAATTACTGTTAGAAATCATAAAGGTGAAAAAAAGGTAAAGGCGCAGACGAGCCAAAGGCCCGAACTACCGGAGCTTATCCCGATTTCCTTAGCATGAAGCATACCAAGGAGTATTGCTACTCCCCCTGGACGGAATGCGAGTCCATCGCAGGGCATAAAGCTTATCGTGAATTTAGTATGACCGGGCCAAGTCCACACTAATCTGGACATTTTTAAACCTGCGTATTTATTTACCCGAAATCGTGTGGACGGCGCTTTATAACAACTCTAGATAGCGGTTTCAAAAACATGCGGGTTCGGTGAGCGGATTCACTGGTTTCGTGTGGACCGAAGGCCGAGTCCTTTTAAAAAATATGCAGTTTAAAAAATATCCGGATTCATTTTGACGGGGCATATCAAACAATGTTTTACTACTTCATTTCACGGCAAATTGACGTTTTTTACTTTTAGATTTCTCGTTTTGGGTGGCAGCCAACATGCCTCTGGACGATAACCTAAGACTTCAAATACTGAGCATAAACTGTCCCACCCAGAGACTGCGAAGAGAACTAGAAATTGTGAGAAAGGTAATCAACACAGTGAAGGTTATAACTGGTTTGCCCACTGAAAATTTTCCGGACCGTCGCAATCGTATCGATTTTTAGGCGGGGGGCAGGGAAGAAAACTCGGAGGCCGGGGTGGTTGGGACGATCGGAACTATCCATGCGATTGAGGCGTGCGAGAACATGATGGACGCGCGTGCCCATCACGTTTCCTCGTACCTAAATTCTACCGCCCCCTTTCCTTTCAAACCCCGGCCACGCAGGCTGGTTCTATCTGGACGATTGCGATCGCCCCAAACCCGCATTGCGTCAGGATGATCGCGACGATTACATGAAAACCAGTCTCAACAAACACAGTTTCGAAAACGCGTTCTTTTTTGCCCGCGGAGAACACAGAGCGCGAGGTAAAGAACATAGCATGAAGCAGATTCAAGGTTCACAGTCCTCTTGTTATCCGTAAAATCGTTGCCTGGAGCGCATTTTTTTTTCTGTCCTCTCTTCCCCCGCTATGAACCCCAACGTCCGCACCTTTGGTACATTTGAATCAAAGATGGCCGCCCTTCGTAACGGTGAGCGCTCAATCTCGACAATTTTACCGAAAAATAGAGAACTGTGAGCAGTCTACTTTTCGCGATGAACTCTGCACGTAAACGTCGTGAAACATGTTCATCTAGCACCGTTCTGGTGCAAATTTTCTCCCATTGGCGCATTAAAAATATGGCACCATTTGTATGAAAACTTTCCTGGCATAGCAGGGTCTTTACTGTCTAATTCTTGAGTTGTTTTTAACAGTGCAGTGTCCTGTGTTGCCGTGAATGTGAAACTAAGATAGTGGACAAAAACGATTTGTTCAGGTGAGGCACATATTAATACAAATGTCACTTGTAACCATTAATGTCAAGAGCATAAGGCAATAGGCTCCTGTTGATGTATCGAATGCGGTATTTCCACGTATAACAAATAACATAAGAGAAAGTCTGTTTTCGCTTGTGGACCAAAACAACTTTGAAACAAGGCCTGAAACGGCACATACTTTCTGGAATTAGGAGATCGCCACGCGCGTTTTGCTGTGGTTATTAGAAAGATTTAGAATCGCGTCTACGGCAAACGGTACAAGTCCGATTCTAGTTGACAATTTCGTAAGTTAACGGGTAATGAGCAGATAAAAACTGTCTAAGATAATTCTTATGGGTGAAACTGTCATTTTTCTGCTGAAATCGACAAGCAAAGGGAATTTTGGTCAAATGGCACGAACTAGAGTTTTTCGTTTACCGTAAACTGTATTCTATTTCTCTCTTAATCGATAAATCCCTCCTCTTGAAGTGCGTCAATGCACATGATTGCCACGAACGAAGAACAACAAGAGACGATTTTAACGATAAAAAATTCCTCAGTCAGTAGGTGCTTTAACCAGTTGTACAATCATCTTTTATGAACTGAATTTGATGTTTCTTTCAATGAACTTAAATTCGCCTTTTTCACATAGGCCATTATCTGCGACTTTCACCTTTCCCACAATGTAATTTGTTTTTCCCACGAAATCTTGCATAAGAATTGTTTTCAATTTCTCAGGGGACGATCATTAGTCCCAAGAGAAATTGAAAACAAGTCTTATGCTAAACTTTGGGGGGAAAACAAATTGTTTTATGGGGAAAAGAGTGATAGCCTGGGACCCAAACTAAGCGCGCGCACATTTATGGGATTGTTTGGGGGGACAAGTCGAGCAGCCACCTCGAATATATGACGAGACATGCAAGTTGTTGTGTGCCTTTCTGCACAAATAACTTCAGGAACTCCCCTGGTCTAGCATTTTATAGAATACCGAAGGCGAGACGTATCCAGCTGCGTTTTCTTTCCGGTGGTTTTGGCTCCACGGCAAAGAAACCATCTCTGAAGCTGTTTCATGATGCATTCTTCTGGTTTTTGTCGAGGTAAAATTGTCCCAGGCACACCTTCTTCCCTCAGCTTCACATTTTCATGCTTTATTTTTTCAATTCCACCTTCCGTTTTGTAATTTTAAGCTGTTTTAACCCCGCTGAAACATTCCACTTCGCTTTCCGCCATGTTTGTTTACATTCGCGACCCCTCAGATAATCCCATAAATGAGCGCGCGCCTAGTTTGGGTCCCAGGCTATCTCTCTTTTCGAAAGTGAGCTGTTGTTTATTATTTGCATGGGCAAACCGGTCGATCCACGGTTTGGGAAAATGGTAACCAAAGTTTAGGACTGGTCGACGTTCTCGCAGAATCTCGTTTACCATTTGTACAAATCAGCTACATTTGCCGAAAAACGGCAAATAAAGCCTGAAACTGGTATAAAAGATGGCTTTGAAGAAATGGAACATGAACTCCGTCCAGAAAAACAGGACTACCTTTTCAGAGATTCCGCTGCTCCCGGAAATTTTCCGTTGGAACGACCAAGAAAGTCGTGCTCCATTTACTTTCCAACCCGATTTTCCGGAACCTTTATGTTAATTGTAAACAACCCTTGTTTGCCCCCCCCCCCCCCCCCCNTTTTTTCTGTCCTCTCTTCCCCCCGCTATGAGCCCCAACGTCCGCCCCTTTGGTACATTTGAAACAAAGATGGCCGCCCTTCGTAACGGTGAGCGCTCAATCTCGACGATTTTACCGAAAAATTGAGAACTGTGAGCAGTCTACTTTTCGCGATGAACTCTGCAACGTAAACGTCGTGAAACATGTTCATCTAACACCGTTCTGGTGCAAATTTTCTCCCATTGGCGCATTAAAAATGTGGCACCATTTGTTAGAAAACTTTCCTGGCGTAACAGGGTTTTTACTCTCTAATTCTTATGTTGTTTTTAACAGTGCAGTGTCCTGTGTTGCCGTGAATGTGAAACTAAGATAGTGGACAAAAACGATTTGTTCAGGTGAGACACTTAATCATACAAATGGTCATTAGAAATGAGCGCGCGCCTAGTTTGGGTCCCAGGCTATCTCTCTTTTCGGAAGTGAGCTGTTGTTTATTATTTGCATGGGCAAACCGGTCGATCCACGGTTTGGGAAAATGGTACCAAAGCTTAGGACTGGTCAACGTCCTCGCAGAATCTCGTTTACCATTTGTACAAATCGGATACATTTGCCGAAAAACGGCAACGAAAGCCTGAAACTGGTATAAAAGATGCCTTTGGAGAAATGGACATCAAAACGGTCCAGCAAAACAGGACTACCTTTTCAGAGATTTTGTTGCTCCCGGAAATTTTCCTTTGGAACGACCCAGAAAGTCAGGCTCCATTTACTTTCTGACCAGATTTTCCGGAACCTCTTTGTAGATGGTAAGCAACCCTTGTTTGCCCCGCCCCCCCGCCTCCCCATACGCCTCCAAAAAAAAGGTTTGCCTAACCAATGTTTCCAATTCCTCCTGGGTAGCACAGTCGACCCAAGAGGAAAAGAAAACAACGGCTACGCAAAATTTTGGGGAGTAGGCAAGGTGTATAATGGTCCATATGAAAATGGTGAATTACTATGACAAAAGAGCAAAATGAATCCTTACAAAAATGGAGCTAAATTTTGTGATCCCACTTTTTGTAAGAAGGTAGGCAAGCATTAGAAGACAATTTCTTGAACGTCTTTTTTGTTTCCTTTTTTTAAATACACAGCATGTCACTGGATGGTCCGTTAGGTGCATATGTCAATCCGAATGGCTGGGTGCATGAGACGCTAACTTTCTACCGAGCCACAAGCGTTAGACTAAGAGGAAGGCCAACAGCAGAGAACAGCTGGTTTCCTGGGTAAGTGACGATGGGCTGCTCATTAAAAAACAAACCCTAAGCTCCCGCGCAGACTCTCTTAGGGCTTTCGTCTTGAGCGACGAAAGTCGCGAGAATAGAGAGCTTTAGTTTCGAGTACAAGAACGAGATTTTAACCGTTCTCAAAAAAAATAAGCCCCGGAAAGCTTAATTTTACTTGTTTTCACCAAAAAGTTAGTACGGTTTTTTATACTAAAGAAGGTTAAGCCCGCTCCCGATAGCAAAATGATAAAACTTCTTACATTTGAAAACTTGTTCCCGTCACTACGACATTCTCGCTAAAACTCGCAGAAGAATGACGACGGCTATCAAGTTTTCCCGCCAAGATGACGCTGGTTCACGCGTGAGCAATACTCAGGATTGAGAAAATCTCGTACTCGTAGTTGTCCTCGCCTCAGAATCTAAAGCTGTCTAATACCTTCCGACCGATGACCCAACCAAGGTGGACTTTTGGAGGTGCAAGTTTATTTTTTGTTTAAATTGGATTTAGAATTGACTGACACGTTGGGGAACAAGGGTAGTGCTGTAGTGAGGGCACTCGCCTCCTACGAATGTGAACCGGCTTCAAATCCCAGCGTCGACGCCATATGTGGTTTAAGTTTGTTGTTGTGTCTCTTCCTTGCTCCGAGAGGTTTTTCTCTGGGTACTTCGGCTTTCCCCACTCCTAAAAAACATCGACACTTCCAAAATCCAACTCGATCTGGAACGCACGGACACGTTGAAACGAGTTCTCTATAATAACCTGAGAGCTTGCAACCACGTCCCTGTGACTCCTCGTCGACTGAGCTGTCAGATTTCCGCCAATCAGCGCGAAGCGGAAACGAGCGGGAACGTAAACAAACATTGAAAAACACGTGCCAAGGGTAATGTCGTCATTACCAGCGTCATCTCCGCCAATCAGCATTTCGCAAAAACAAAGAGGGTTCGTTTTTCTTCATTTAAGGTATGCATGGACTATAGCCGAGTGTGGTCAATGCGGAAACCATTTGGGTTGGCGTTTTACGTCCGTCAAGCGAGGCTTAAATCCCAGTAAGTTCTGGGGACTCACCCGAGCTTCTTTGAGACCCACACTGGTTTACGAAGAGGAAAGTGACCCTGAAAACAAACGAACACAAGCTGTCCCACCGTCACCCTAACGTGCGATAAGGCTATGTTACACCACTTCCCTGGGACGTGACAAAGTGTTTCTTTACACCACCCCACAGAGGTACGTCACAGTAGTGAGAACGTATGGAACGAAAAATTGAAGGCGCCGTCACGATCTTCGTGCAATGCCAAAAGCTTCTTCGCTTTGGATAAAAGAGATACTTGTTTGAAAATCTAACGTTTCATTTGAACGCTAAATGAACACGCTAAATGGTTAATGCATTCGGTTGAAAATGCCAGACCTGAATGAAGAAGTGTGGAGGTGATGACAAAGGTGGTTTACGCTTAATTTATAGACCCCACAGTCTCCAAACAAAAGACGTAATAATGACTTTAAATAGCAAAAAAATAACCGTAGAACATTTGAAAGCAAACTAGAGACAGGTAACGAGTGGCAGCGAATGTTGCCGTATCGCTTAGGTTTCTTCGCGCTATGTTGAAGCTAAGTTTCAAAATAGCACTCCATGCTTATGCAGCAGTGACAAAGTTAAACTCTGGTCACTATTATCGAAAAAAAGCCGCTCAAACCAGTTTAGAGTGGTCCGCTTTTCAAACGTTTTGGTCTTGCGTCTACACTGATACATTTTTTTATTATCGAAATCACAGAGCGTCAAAAGCGCCGTGCACACCCCATTAGATAGCGGAGGCAATTGAAAACGAAGTCCTACCTTCTTAAGTGCGCAAAGCGAAAACGGAGACCATTAAAGGGGCACCTTCAACCAGTGTGCATTGCGGTCGTGCACTTCGACGAAATTACGAACGTTCTGATTGTGTTTGAAAATTGGATTGTATCGTCTCAACCTAAGGCAATAGCAGGCTGTGATACCCTTCTTAAAAAAAACATAGATACAATCCTGTTATCAAACACAGAAATCACGTTCGTGATATTTGTATTGTTGCAAATGATTTCGGTAAAGTGCAGGACCGCAATGCACACTGGTTAAAGGTGCCCCTTTGAAAGCGTTCACTTCATTTTTTGGTGTCCTTAATTTAAATCCATTCTCCTTGAGGAGAAGTTTTCCAAATCAACACTTTTTAAAGATTTTTGATAATGGTTTTATTTTTTTACTTTTTGTGTTTCTGTTTTAAACGCGTACTTTACAAAATTTAACATTAGACTTTTACGCGAAACGTTCGTGGAATTTTGTCCACGTTTTTCCCCATCGTCCACCTTAGTCGCGCACAAGTTTGAGCTGAATTTTAAAAAAAGTCAAACTTTGGGCCGAGCTTCATCCTTCGCCCTCTAATCATGTTATGGCGAATTCATAAGGATAAAAGCTATAGTTCATATATATGAGGCTCTACGAAAAGAGGTGTTCCCTTTAATTACAGAACTGCGATAGGGACGAAAAAATGGTGAATCGTTTCTGTCTTGTAGTACTGTACCTAATTTCATATGTCAGAAGTCCCCGATTATTTCACGATTAGCGATGACATAAGGTAGCTGTCAACTACCTTACTAACAAACTTATCACTTGATTACATATGGGGCACTTAGTTATTCTTAATTATTGTGAAATCCATTTTGCAAAACTCGGCAACGTGTGTTGGCCGAAAGGAAAACTTTAAAAATGTAAATTATTGAAACCAGTTGATTAATCCTTGCAAAGTCCTGAAGACGGATCATCATCAAGATGAATTTTCAGATTTTTTTTAAAAAAAAGAGAATTAATGTAACTAGAGATATAGATTATTAGAACCAGAACTAATGTATTTGTTATATATACAATAGAATGTGGTCGGTTTATTAACACTGTTTTAACAAATTCGCAAATAGCTAAGCAGCTTAGCTGTAAAATATTGGAAATCCATCAGTGAACGCAACCTTAACCTAGTAGTTAACCCTTTCAGTCCCAATATCTACGTGCAAATTCTCAAGACTGCCCTTCATACAATTCTCATAAAATAAGTTGAGAGAATTTGTTAAAAGATCAAAGCATTTTCCCTTTAGTGATCATTTTATGTAATTCTCGTAACCTTTTCTGTTGAGTATGTATTGATATTGTTGCGAGAAAACTGATGATGATGACTCTTGGGAAAAAGGATTAATAAAGGTGGAATTCGTAGTGTCTATTTTCTTGCTAGTCTATTCTCTCACCGCGCCAGACTAGGGCTGCCTGGCTCAAACCCGTTGGGCCTGAGCGCGAGTCACGTGGTTCTTATTCTTAGGTTCCACGTGGGGCTTGGTACGAGAAAAATACCCCGGAGGACACCCCAAGGGAACCGATGTCTCAAAAACTCCTTTAGCATTGGAAAACAATTTTTTCAATGATTTTATTTTCTAATATACAGTATACACAATTAGTGAACATTTGGTTCGATAAAATACTCCTGAATTTAGAGGAATTATCCATAAAAATAGCACTATGCATGTTATCATTTTGACTTTCTCAGGAAAACTAAGTTTTTTTTAATGTTTACTAGTCAATTTAAAAGCGTTTCATTTCGCTGACAAATAGCTGACATGAGTGTAACAACGAGATACCAAAGTCACTACTGTGAATAATGCCAACGACATTTCCTTAAGAAAATTTTACCAAAACCTACATTACAGATAGAAAGCTCCTAAACTTCCGAGGGTCCCAATGTCAACTATCAAATTCTCCTTACTGAACCTCTTAGATTTCTTTTACAAATGATTGGGAGACTTAAAATTATTTCAAAATAAAGGCAGTCCATCACCATGACCTCTGTGGCAGGGACGAATTGTAAATGTGCGGATAAACTTCATTTCCATCGCGCAAAGACACTTTTGAAAAAAGTTGAGCTCGTCACGCATGCTGCTACGAGATCTGCCCTGAATAAACTCAAGATATTTTGGTTTACGAGAGCAGAACAAAAGGTATGGAAAATAATCTTTGTGCCACAGGAAGTTCAAGCAGAAGGGATGGGCTACCTTAAGTAGTTAAATGCAATTTTTAGAGGAAATTCTTTCAAAAATAAATTCCAATAGATTTCTGATAGTATTGGCGATTAGGACGCGAACGTAAGAACATTCTGGCGTTGTAAAGGCGACGGATTGTTTTGATCTAGTTTGTTTTAAAGCCTTCTCCTCTGGAACTATCCATGATAGAAAATATATTGTATATTGTTACAAGTAACTATAATAATTATTTAAACTTGTCCATTGTAGAAGAACTTTTAATCTTAAAATGTCACTGCCAGAGAGAGAAAGGCTCTCCAATTATGTCCCTGAACTTCTCCTTGTCCCTTACCATAATTTAACAGTCCACTTTGACTCAAGCTATAGAGAAACAATTGATCTACTCTGTAGTTTCCTTTATAACTGTTACTTATGGCGCCTCGCGGGGGAGGGGAGGGGGGGGGGTCATTTTACCCCACTTCTGTATTACGGCTAGGGTCACCTTTAAAACGCGATCTTTGATACGTTTAAAGATACGTCGTCACAGTTGCTGCTTTTGTTTTTTCTTTTACGCTACTGTTTCTGAAACAGTTTCATTGTTTCTTTAGTTTCTCTAGGCTGAATCAGTTGAGAATCGAGTTTTTAGCTCTAAGGGATCAACCTTAAGCCCGCACTACCCATGCCTCTCTAAGGTCTTCATAAGTCAGCGTGTTCTTTTGTTCGTTGATAACCAAAGCCGTGAGAATAACTGTAAGCTCTGGAAGACGGTAAAGGACTTAAACTAGCTAACGAGTCGCGAACGTCTCTAAGTTCGGTCTTCATTCTTCGGTAAATCTGATCTAAAGCGTTCTCTAACGACTCAATTTTCCCATGTAATGCGTCAGCGGGGATTACTCCTCTGTCTATAGGGTCACTCTCCTTTCTCGTACGGAATGTGACCCGGCTGTTGTCGTTAACGTCCATAAATTTGCCGTAGGGCACGTGATTTCTATGGCCATTTGTACACTTGTCAAGCGGATTGACAAATTGAAGTTGGTTTGGAAGTGGAGTAGATGAACTGGGTGATAGTGGTCGCTGATTTTGTGCAAAGTTTGTTTGCCGAGCCCAAGGATCAACTAGAACCGCATGAACTTTTCTGCATCTGTCTTTCTGTTGGGATTCCACGTGTGAATTCGTATTTTCTTCCTGCAAGCCATCAATAAGTATCAATACTTAATTTGTTCATGTTATTACAGTGGTTCAAACATTGTAAAAAAAAGCCTTCCAAATATTTTAACTACTAAAACCGCTATAATTAATTCCAAAACTTAAGCAAATACTTGTACTACGCTTATTGATTGGCTAGAAAGCAATTCGCGCCATTTTCTTAACCAGTCACAGGGTAAGCCAATCGTGACTTGCGCCAACGCGTTTTCCCGCGCTTTTCTGGAGACATGATTGGTTAATTTGATTCTCTATCTCTTTCTTTACATTACTACACTCCAACTTCTCTCCTTGATGGGCGAGAAAAACAATTCCCCGCCATTTTCTTATCCAATCTTAGGAGAAGCCAGTCATAACTTGCCTAAACGCTTTTTCCCGCGCTTTCGTCGACCTATGATTGGTTTATTTGAGTCTCTTTCCCTGCTTCGATTGGCTAGCGGAATTAAGTTTGGATTCTTCGACAGATTTGAAATCCTCGTTCCCCGCGCTTACTTCGAGCTATGATTGGTTAATTTGGGTCTTTGTCTCTGCTACGGTTGGCCAGCGAAATTAGGAAGTCTTAAATTGGAGTCAATGACAAGATTGAAAACTGCGTCATAGCTATATGATTGGCTAGAGGAATTAGTTTGGATTGTACGACAGGTTTGAAAACGTTTCTTGAGAACAAGAGACAACTTACTTCAAGAATAGGTGGCGGTGATTCAACACTGCTGCTGCTTCTTTTAAACGAGCTTTTACTAATGCGACGGACACCAGTTTGCTTCTGAAGGAACAATTCCACGTTCCCGACACTCCTAGAAACATCGGTCAGCAACATGGCGATGTCGTCGGCCAAAAAAAACTTTCTCCAGTAGTCATCTGTTGATTTAGAGGTGAAGAGTGTTAACTAGGGAGTAACAGGAGTTTATGAGCGCATCGCTTAACAATATTTCGACCGTTGCTGGTCGGCGCTTGTAAATGGTAGTGAGCCTACCTCGTGACCAACTTCTTCGTACAAATCTCCATTTTCGTATGTCTTCAGCCATTTTGTGCTCATACCTCCTGAATTTCTGAGTTTTGAACCAGTCACCCCACTCGATTGTGTCCGCGTTCTCTTTCTTGAAACGATACAGTTTCCATGTGCTCTGTATGCAAGTGGCAGCAAGGTTCTTTTTCCTGCTTAGATGTTCTGAGGAAAGACGCATATTATCTCGTGATTCTGTCATGATTCTAGTTTATTACTCCTTTCCATGAATTTTAAGGGTAGGGAGGTGAAAAAACCGGCGTGGAAACCAGTTCAGCAGGTTAAGTAGATGCTCAGTGGCGAGAAAATAGCAAGCACATGTTTTTCTGTCAGCAAGTGGCCAGAGAATGCTGAAGTAACTTGCTAGCTGTGACTCGATTGTTTACCCTAAAATGGTGTGTTAAAAGACTCGGGAAGTTGCACAGACCGCAAATAAATATGTATATATATTGTAATTCTTGACCAAAACAGAGTAATGATGAAGAGTTGCAAATCTAGGACACCAAGCCAAAGTATTTGCAGTGCAAAACTAAATTTTAACCCACAAAGATAACGTTCCTTAACATAATTTCAAAATCATGAACGCGAAAATCGTTTGAAAAATTACCTGCATTCTCCATGGTTGCCAAAATCCTTTTCTCTTGTTGCTTTAGTTGAAGGGCTTCGTGCACGACGCTTATAAATAAAGCCATCAGAAATATTCCCAACACGGAGGCGAAGCCTACAAAAGCGCGAGCTAGAAGCTTTTTAGGCACAACATCTCCAAAGCCGAGGGTTGTCATGGTAACGACAAGCATCCATACGGTGTCCTGTAGATGTAGAAATTTCATTGCGGGTCATTCTCAGTAAAATATTATAATATTTCGAAAAATATGGCAATTGTTATTGAGGTGGTAAATAAGCGAGTCATCAAGCAAATATAAACGGTTTCACCTGCTGCTAGAACAAATTTATTCCAGTAGAAAATGAGCCTTATAGACAGGCAATTAAAGGGGCTTGGAGTGATATTGAAGCTTTAGGTTTTGCGTAATAACGACTTTCCTCAATGTTATTGGTCGTAACTTGTTAATGACATTTTCTTTACAAAATAATGTTGATTATTTTACTGCGTTATTTGCCATTTTCATAAATGTCAAAACTTTAGTGTTTAGTGTTATCGTATTGTATAATTTAACTAAGCAAAAATTTCCCAAGACAGTCAAAGTTTTAGAAATAGTGCGAATTGAAACTCCTTGTTAAAAGAAATCGACCGTAAAATGCATGCAGCTGATAAAGTTCACAATTCAAAGATCTGTGTGAAAACTTGTCAGCGTGGGTACTCCCCAATGATGAGCAATAAGTCAAAATAAGCCTGTGTTTTCAAGATGGCTCTGAGGTTGGATTTTCATCCCGGGGGCATTTTCATTTTTTAACTTCTAGAAAGGTCAAGTCTACTAACAAAGTTCTGATCTGTCTAAAGGAGAAAGATCTCGTGTAGTCTTTTTTCCCTATCAGGTGCTAAAGATTTTCAAGTAGTCTAAATTCGCCAATCACAGGAGGTCTGTCGGGGGGTAAATCTAGCCACTTTGAAAGTCAAATATTAAACTACTGTAGGTCTAATTTGATCATGTATAGTTGATGTTATCGTTTTGTCCAAAGACAAATTATACAAGAAGCGACTTGACTTTTCCTTCCCAAAACCCAACTTAGGACAACTCAAGTCGTTTTTTTCTTGTCGGTGGTTTTGATATTGTCGCCCACTCAGATCTTCGATTAGACTTTCCGATAACAGCTTTTCTTCCAGACAACGCACTCAATTAAAGACAAAAAAGGAGAAAAGTAAACGCGCCCTTCATTTATGATCAATGTGAGATAAAAAAATTAAGGTGTTAGTGTGGCGGAGACACCAACTCCTGTCGCCGAAACTTGATTCAAATAGGGAGCTTTAGCAACGACGACGGCGACGAAAACGGCAACGAGGACGTCAAAAAAGCAATAGGTTTATTACGCAAAACAACAATTTTGCACGTGCATCACGCTTTTTTGTACATTTCTTTACCGTCCTTGCACGACTACGACGTGAAAATGCCGAATTGCAAGTTTTATGGAGGAAGCAAACGAGCGACGACGAATTTCTTTTCCCCTCTCTAAAGTTGAGTGCGCTCCTCAAGAAATCAGCTCGAGGGAAATTCGCCTACATTTCCCATTTTCATCAAATTGGAATGAACGCGACAGTGTTTGAAAAACTGGAATTCATTTTAAAAGTGACGTTTTCACTGCCGTTGCCGTCGTCGATGTGTCCATATGAATGAACGAAGTTTTGATCCGTCGTAATTAGCAACCCGGTGATCTCGATTAACGGTTGGGTCAGCCCTTCATATGCTGGACATTATTTCACCTTTTATTTTTTAGAAGGTTTTCTTTATTGGGCCATGAACTGCGTAGGAAAAATTACAGGAATCTCGCCACTTTCTCGATCCAGTTGATTATTATTGTCATTTTTATTGTTTAAAAACGCCGTCTCCTGACTCTTAAATAGAATTTTCCTTGTTTCATCTTCAACTTTAAATCATCCTTAATTTTACTTGCTAATTTACGCCCAATGCTGGCAGGTGTGAAGTGTTGATTTCGCCTTCAAATGCATATACCTAGTAAAATAACACGAATTGAAATTCTTATTTCTATAAAAACGCAAACCGGGTTAAATTTGTTTTGACGAAAAGTCAGTGGCGGAGTTGATTAAAAACCTGACCCGGCTTCATTTGAAACTTAATAATCACAGTCCGATTCCCGTCGTAATTAAAACAAATGTCAAAACAGAATCGGCCATGCCTGCCTTAAAGGCACAACAACGTGTTATTAAAAAGGAAACACCCTCTACCCAGAAATATATGCATTTTGGGTACTTATGTAGAAAGCTTAAGAGTGCTGAATTTAGACAGACATCGTGGACTAGATTGTCGCAGTTCCAGCTTGAAACTTGGAAAGGGATAACTATTAATTATTTAAAGTCTCCCCTTGAGGGCTTAAATATGTTTCCTATGCCATTTAGTGGTGTGCATGATATCAGTCGTCTTTCGAACGATTAGAAAATAGTATTGAGCCTCCTTGTTTTGTTTACGACACATTTCCTTGGGTGTAGGCACTGGTTATTTGTAGCATCTGTAAAAGCGATCAGACTTGGCCACTAGTTCTTGCACCATCTTTTCCACCAGTTCTTGCAGTTAATTAACCGTACAGCCGTTTTAGATCGTTTTAATGAATAAGGAGGAGTTGAATTAAAGAAAGTCTTTTATTTTTCAAGTCCTGGCTATTTTGCTCGAATTAAGGCCAATATTTTTCGAAAATACTGCCGGAATTCGCGGTTTAAAATTAGGTGTGGTGATCATTTTATTAAAAGACTTTGATAAATATCTGAAAAAACATGCGATCCGACCAGCATAATCGAAGTGAAAGTCTTCGAAAACTTATCCAGTTAACTCTGTGCACCCCTTAAGAATGCTTTGCTACTTTATCAGTACTTCAGCTACATTAAAATAGGCATGCAAGAATATTTTGTCAGGGGGATACAAGTCCTTAAAGCTAAAATTAAGGGAGCTTTGAACAGGTGACAATGTTGCCATGGTAACCAACTGTTTCAAGAATATGTCCACAATTAGTTAAGCAGGATTCGAATGAACGTTTTTCAATACTATACGGCAGAAATTGATCAGAAGTAGTAGTAGTCACTTTCAGAAGAAAAGACCTGAAAAATTGCTGCTTGAAATATATTCTCCAAGAATGTGACATGCGGCAGAGGTGTTACCTTTGTGTAACTTTCGAATCCTTGGACAAAAACCTATGATGTTATCATTCAAATTAAACCTTTTAAACAGTATTATTGCGTTATGCTGTTTATTTATCATGATTTTATGAATTTTATAAAAAAAATCTCTTTTGCTTTTAATTTTGACGTGGGCCACAGCTACTGGGAGCAGAATGAAGTGTTATGACGTCAAAAGAAGTAATTAGCGCATCGCGAAAAACCATGCCGCGTATTAGTTTCGTGTTTCACGTTCCATAAAGTTCCATCTTTTTTACAAATATACATATATGTCTATTATTCGTGTGATCTGTGTAGAGAGCGCTGTGTAGGGATTAGTGGAACTGCAGTAGGTCGTTTGAGATTAGAAGACCAACAAAATTAAAATCTTCTTTGACCTGTTTTTAACTGGGAGGGTTGCTATTTTAATAAAACGCTCATTATAATACTGCTACATTTCATGCTGTTTGTTGTGTCGGAAATTCGCATGGCGTTAGGTTAAATGAACAGAATGGCATTTTATCAGTTTGAGGCTAAACCCTGCTGATAAACGTTACATCCCAATGCAATTCAACGCTTAGATAAGATACACAAGGGTGACCGATTTCGATTCCTTCTGTTTTCGTTCGCTACGAGTTGCAGTTTGATGTAATAATGGTCCATTATCTGCAACATATTTGAGATTCCATGTTGTTTGTGTTTTTCTCTACGCTTTGACGAAGTTCTAGCTTTCTGTTCTGGCGAAGACTCTTCACAATAACATTATAACTGTTTATGTTGAATGATTGTGGTCAAAGATAGTTACGTAATGCAGTTCGAAATTTTCAACCAAGAAAAGCGATCACTTTCATAAATAAGAGACAACAGATATTTTAGTCTATTGTAATTTACACAGTTTCTCTTAGCTGACTTCGTTGCCACCATTTTGCTTTTGTTTGCGAAAGAAAGGAAACAAAAAAGGCTTTTAGAGTGAAAAGCAGTTGTTGTTTTGTTAATCTCCTTCTCTTACTGTCCTCTTATTCTTAACTAATGAGAAGAGTACTATGTTCTGAGCTTATTCAGTTTAACAACGAGTTCATTTGAATGTTAGTCTTAACCTAGATGCCAGAGAAGTCGACAATAATAAAGTTTAGCGATGTTTCCACTCCGTCGTGAAAAATTACGCCGGTCATGAATGTTAGAGGATAGACATTTTGTGTTAGAAAGCACGTGGTTAAAAGCACATATCCTGCCGAGTTAGGACTGGCTAAGATGCATGAAGGTCAGAGTATGACATTCAGTTTAAAGTTTTTGTCGGTACAAGTTAAGTTTTAATCTAACTCTCTCGAAAAGAAAAGTATAACCTGAAGGTCATTTCATGTGTTTCATGTACCGCTCTTTTGAATTTTTAAAAAGTTACTTTAAAAAATTCAGACAAAATAGTTTCAGTTTATTTATTCCAACTATACACGGCTTTTGTCGACATCGTTATATGATGTTATGTGTATAGTTTAATTCAGATCACTTAGCACAAAAAAGTTGTCGCATAAATCTCAATTCTGATGCCAGCGTTATTTGCGTTTTAAAAGCCGAACTAGAAATAAAGCTATCTTCAACCTTGTTTTTTTGAATTTCTTAGACTGAAAGTTTCTACTCTTTTTAGTATCGCAAATTGATTATAAAGGTAAAAGGCAAAAAGAAATTTTTTGTTCATTATTATGCGACGAATTAGAAGAACCGATATCAACTAATCAGTTTTCCGCTTTGCCGCCGAGCTGTTTCTGTTGTTTTGACATTTAAGAGTGTATAGATAGATTTCGTTTGTCAATATTTTGACAGACGCATAAAATGGTTGTAACTCGCGATAGCTTGACCGTCAAATAAAAAAAGGTCACAGAGAAAAAGAATTCACCGTGAAAACGCACTTAACATCACATGTTACAGAGGCTGTGGAACGTTTCTGTTTGCCACTCGTGGGTCGATGGGTTAATTTGCAGGGAGACCTTTGTTTAAGAAAATAAAAGTAACCCGGAGTATGACAAAAACCCTATTAGTATTATAATAGAGGTCGGCTCATGAAGTGCTATTCAATTTTTAATCACTTTTACTCAAGCTGTGGTGGATGCCTCGCCATTACCGAGATAAAAACATTTCGCACCTTCCAAAACCACGAAGTGTTTATACAAAACCTATCTATCCTAAATAAGGTATTCTATACCGAGAATTTGCTGTACAAATCCACTGTTAGTGAGACGATCTCACGCTTAACCGATTTTTTACTTGTTGTACTATTGAAAGCCGACGCGTCTATCAGAGTTCAACATAGACTTATTTGTGAATTGAAAGTCAAAAGGGTTGAAATTGATCTTAGCTTAAAAACACTGCTTTTTGTGTAAATAACTGATTAAAGAAAATCATCTTGAATCAGTGATGAAGCGAGGACTATTGAACTCAAAATTATTATTTGAGGTAGTCGAGAAAGTTTTGGAAAAAACAGGCGATGAATGATAAGGGTCGAAGCAAAGACTGGAGGTTATTTATACCAAACACGTCCGTAATATATTCTTTGGTAAATGTTTTTTTATATGGCCAATGACACTTCCGTACCACTAGAACTGTCCAATAAAGTTGTATTTGTACTGGAATTATCAGCTATTTGTACTTACCAAATAAGTACTGTGGGTCCTTTCAATAACATACACAAAATATCCACCTAAGAAGATGTTGAGAAGGTAAAATGTAAATATCAGCCTAAATGGGAACTTGAGGAAATAAGCCTTCACCAGAAACACCGATGAAATCTCTGTCTGTGTCACTGAAGCGAAAACTGCCGTTGCCTGATTATCCACAAACATGTTGTGTTCTTTCACGTATTTGGCGATTAGATATAACCTTAAAAACACCAGCAGTTGAAGTTCGTAAGGCATTCCGTAGTGGTCTAAGAAAGGAGGGACGTGAAAAAGGCAAATAGCCACTTCCGCCAAGCAACTCGGAAACAGAGAAGTCATTACGAACTTTTCTGACCTGAGGTAGATGTTCCTGACGACTAAGTATCTAAGCTCGTTCACGTTCATGCGATAAATAGTTATGGAGGTCAGAAGCGATAACACACTTAGCGAGGACTTGACGACCGCTGCTGAAAGTCGAAAGGGATTATTCAAAATCACAGACAAATCCATTGGTGACAGATCCTGGGCCGTGTCTGTGCCTCGGATCGTAAGTTCAATGTCTAAAAGAGCCAGAGCAACTGCAAGAATACCCATCACTGCTGCCGCGCTAGACAGCATCTTCGTTTTCCGCTTGTAATATTTTTTCGCTGTATCCGTGTCCTTAAAAGATTGTATTGTCTGGTCAAACTTCTCTAGTCCGTTATTACAAGGCTTTTGACCCGTACTTCTCTTACGACTCATGCCCGCCTTCTCCACGGCAGAGTTAGTTGTAGGATTGCCCGGCTGTACAGCACAGCTTGTGCGACGGTGGCTGTCCATTCCCGTGGTGAACGTGATGTTTCTTAACTCTATCTTATCTTTCGCTGATTGCGTCCGTTCTGCGGAGAAATCCATTGGGAATCGGTTAGAATGTTAATTTCTTACTCCAAAGGAAGGCATTAATCCTCATTAAGTGTGTGAACTGCGAAATATTTTAACCAGCGGTCGGTTTCACGCGATCGCTGCCGATAGATCGCGACTTTACGAAGCACTGCACAGCACGTACTGCGCTTGGGTTGGCCAATAGCGTGGCTTATTACAGTTTTTCTTATCTGGTAGTGTAAAAACTATATTTCTATTAGAACATGTTAAGCCCCGCTGAGCTATCTAGAGATCAGCTGTTTATAACCTCGCTAAAAGTAATAATTGTTTGGAGAAAACTATTATGACCCAGTCAGACATTTCTTTTCTTATTGTCTTTCAGTAGAAAAAGTCAAAAGTTATTGGCAAAGAAGAACGCAGATTTCAACAATACGCAAAAATATTCCAGCCAAAAATCACCATCGAAGCGAGTGGCTGCGTTCTTTGTCATCTCTGATTTATTCGGTTTCCACGATCGCTTCAGAGAGCAGTTACCGCTCACGAAAATAACTTATCGTTAACTAATTATCTACAAAATATCTCTTCATACAACAAAACTCCTATTACTTGAATTATGACATGTTTTTATGCATTTATTTATGATTTTCCTCTTGAATTTTCGAAATTAGGGGGATCCGGTTCAAAATATGAGAAATTTTATTACGTAACCTCCCACTACACAAGTAAATAAAATGCACAGCGGGCTCAAGTTTTGATTATGTAAGAATTATTTACTCCTAAAAAGTGAAACGAAGCAAATTCAGTCAAGGAAAGATATTCGTTCCGCTGTTTTCATAGTCTGTGTTCGTGTTTCTGATTGTATGAAAAAAATTTTTTTTTTTTTTTTAGGAAAAATTGTTCCTTAATTACAATAAACTGTCGGTCGCTGAATATAGAAAAAATACCAAAAAAATGATAAAATATTAACGAACATATTTGGACGGGGCAGGCACCTATGTCACAAAGCTGGTTTTTGCGGAGCCGTTTTCAATGAAAAAGAACAGTAAAATAACTGAATAAATAAATACGTACATGTACAGAAATAAATGAATAGATAAAATAAGATATGTGTTAACAAAATGTCATCAAAAATTAAAAATAATGAAAAAAATTCATAAAGGAAAAATGTTAATTAAAACGTTCAGAAATGGAAATGAAAATGCTCACATAGCACTTGGAGCCGAGTGCTTCATCAATAATTGAAACGGTGTTTGCGATATTACAGTAGGTTATCCTGGGAAAGATATTGCCCTAGCTTGTTTGGGTGAGTTACCCTCGCAACGAACACGCCACATTAGTTTTTGATTCTCGCAAGCAAAAATTTCAGTCGATCCGACGTGAAATGAAGAGTATTTTCAACTCTTAAAACCACCACCTACCTTCGACAACGTACTCCACGGTTTTGCTCATTTTTTAGCCATTGTGTATGATTCTGCTGCGAGTTGGCCGATTCTTTTTGTCCTTACAGAAAAGCGAATCGCCGTATAATCCACTGCGAAGATGAACCGTTCAGTTTTAACGGGGACTAGCCGGCGTTCGGTGGCTTTCCTCTCAGTGAACTTTTTCAAACAGTCGTCGTTAAATTTTCAGCAATTTGAAAAGTAATTCAATATTATATGGTTTAAAAGCAGCTGGTGGCACGGACGCTGCGTTGAAGTTAATGTTTAGACTTCTTGACAATATATTTGGAATTTTTTATAGTGTGTGACTCTTAACGTTTTTGAACAATAGGGCTGTCTTCGAAAGATGCCCTGTCAATAATGTTGCCTCTTTTAAATTGCTGGTATTACTACATATTAGAAATAACAATAGCAACGTAAATTAACTGCAATGAATGCTAATAAGTCCTGCAAAGAAAAAACAAGCCAACGAAAATACAGATGGAGTCTCCTCGGCCGGGTTAAAGTATTTTTTAAGAAAATCGCCTCTTTGAAGTAGTGTAAAGTAGATCGGCACGTCGGGGGGTTTCTACAGCTAGACAAAATCTACTATTGTAGAAACAGCATGTACAGCCGATTGAGGAAAATTATAACAACTGATAGATCGCCGCTTGTCCAGCAAATTAAACGTTGAGGTTCGTTATGAAAGGAAATTCGGAAACTCGTAACTGTACATTTAGTCCAGGAGATGAGTTGCTAAAAGCATCCAAAAAACACCACAAGCTTCTTTCTTAGAGTGATTTTATAAAAGGAGAAAAAATTGCTGATCTTTATGTCCTTTAAAATAGTTAAGTACCTTTACTTCTACAACGTTGGTTGGGAGGTAGGGGTTGGGATACACAGGGGGAGAAGATAGATATGTCCACTACGCAAAAAAGGGCCATTTTATTGAAGTGTACGAACGCTTTTGTCCCTCAATGTAGGTGGGAAATTTTGCTCCTGTTTGAAGGTATATAACGATGGCTTTACGACAGGCTACTCTTCATACGTGTGTATGAGAGGAAATATTGGCTGAAACAGTACAATGATAGCCGCCAAAAAAATTGCAAAATATAATAGTGCCAGCGGTTGAAATGCGCATGCATGAACATGGCTGTTGCAGCTCGCAGTCACGTGACCCACCTTATGCGAAGATTATGGGATACAAAGTTGAAAATACCAGATCTATATGTACGGAAAGCGAATAAAAGATTAGTCAGAAAGCCAATTTTGAGGTCACTCACAAAAGAAGTTAAGATTTCATCATTGTAGGAAAGTCGGCAAAATTCTGAGGAGTTGCGTAAGTATAGGAAAAATCATTACGTACTTGGCCGGGAAGCGTATACGGTAGAATGTGACTTTTGCCATTGATTGTTGTTAGTGTTTTCTCCGTTATTCAAACCACCATAGAATCAGACTGTTAAGAGTTTAAAATCAAAAAAATTACGGACCCACTCTTTGTAGCCTCCCCGCAGACGTCCTTTGGGGTTCGTTCGTCACGCAATCATTTCTGTTTTTTCAACGTTTTCCATCTCTGGTATATAAACCGTATTTGTAGAGCCGTATTCCTTACTTGGCATAAGAGAGGTCACATGACTCCGAGCCGTAAAGGGCCTATTGAATCCAACCAAGGCTTAGAAGGACCCGCTAAAAGTGCGGCCTTTTTAGCTAGAGATCAAAAAGGGTAGAAAACGTACATCGTCTCAAACGACAGCTATAATTTCTGAAACTCTCTGAACAAAATGGAACGAACCTTTAGGGTCGGTTATTTAAACAAAGTCTAAGTTAGACCGCGATTTAGGAAATCTTTGGACCTCCAGATTTCTTCCTCGGTGGGTTATTTTAAGAAGAAAAATGCTTTTGTAGTCTACACTCGGTATAATGCTGTAATGAAACCGTTCACGATAAATGGTGTTTACCTAAAAGCGTTCGGCAAACTGAAAATGGCTTAGAACGCGGTTTTGTTTAACACTGGCTAAACTCCGCTTTTAAAATATCTGGCCCTTTGATTTTCAAATCTGCGCGTAATTTTCTCCTGTGTCACCCTGTCCTTGCGTTTTAACTATTTTTTCTCGCGTAGCACTTAGAACAGTTGGAAATATAAAAAGTCCATTACTACAACAGAGGTTGATCACATAGGAGTTCCATCTGTGGTAGAATTTCATGGCATGTTAGTTTGGGTGTACAAAGAAAACCAGTGTGAGACCCACACCGTTTATGGAGTATCAAAACTACCAGTAACAATTCTAGCAGAATCCCGCTGGTGCCCCCTATCAACTTAAACTGTAGAATACCTTGAAACAGCAAGCTTGATCAACTCCAAAAATGGTTAATTAGCTTCCGAAAGACACCTCCAGAAACCGCGGGTCTTATGGAGGTACCAAGTTGATATGGTGTACATGCAAGATCGGAACGAAACCAAAACNGTCACGCAATCATTTCTGTTTTTTCAACGTTTTCCATCTCTGGTATATAAACCGTATTTGTAGAGCCGTATTCCTTACTTGGCATAAGAGAGGTCACATGACTCCGAGCCGTAAAGGGCCTATTGAATCCAACCAAGGCTTAGAAGGACCCGCTAAAAGTGCGGCCTTTTTAGCTAGAGATCAAAAAGGGTAGAAAACGTACATCGTCTCAAACGACAGCTATAATTTCTGAAACTCTCTGAACAAAATGGAACGAACCTTTAGGGTCGGTTATTTAAACAAAGTCTAAGTTAGACCGCGATTTAGGAAATCTTTGGACCTCCAGATTTCTTCCTCGGTGGGTTATTTTAAGAAGAAAAATGCTTTTGTAGTCTACACTCGGTATAATGCTGTAATGAAACCGTTCACGATAAATGGTGTTTACCTAAAAGCGTTCGGCAAACTGAAAATGGCTTAGAACGCGGTTTTGTTTAACACTGGCTAAACTCCGCTTTTAAAATATCTGGCCCTTTGATTTTCAAATCTGCGCGTAATTTTCTCCTGTGTCACCCTGTCCTTGCGTTTTAACTATTTTTTCTCGCGTAGCACTTAGAACAGTTGGAAATATAAAAAGTCCATTACTACAACAGAGGTTGATCACATAGGAGTTCCATCTGTGGTAGAATTTCATGGCATGTTAGTTTGGGTGTACAAAGAAAACCAGTGTGAGACCCACACCGTTTATGGAGTATCAAAACTACCAGTAACAATTCTAGCAGAATCCCGCTGGTGCCCCCTATCAACTTAAACTGTAGAATACCTTGAAACAGCAAGCTTGATCAACTCCAAAAATGGTTAATTAGCTTCCGAAAGACACCTCCAGAAACCGCGGGTCTTATGGAGGTACCAAGTTGATATGGTGTACATGCAAGATCGGAACGAAACCAAAACAGGATCTTGCTGCTAGTTGAAAAAATTTATTGTATCCAGCGCTTATCGTTGCCCTTCCTTTTTCTCACGTCCTCTATTACTAATTGCTGTGTAGCTAGCATCTCTAATCCAAGTAACTTTAAGTGGATCTAAACCTTAATACATTCACTGATTTTGGTCTCAGAGGGATTAACTTTGTTTATGGATGCAATTACTTACAATAGCAGAAGTAATTGGTTCT